ACTGGTTATTAAGCAGTCTAAATGTAACACTGATACTACTGTATGACATACATCAGTAAATGAGACCATCAGCGAGAAGTTTGGCTAATTGTTAACAGTTATTATAAATGATTAGCCCCTGCTGCAGTAAAATGAGATTTTTTTTCCTAAAGGGAGTCTTGGGCTCGGAATACAGCTTTTGCCCACAGGGATCGCCAAAATCAACACAAAGGTCCTTGTAGCTTTCAATGTATGAAGTTTCAAATGGTTACCAACTTTTAACTTGATATTAACTTTCTCTCAACATGCTTCTCGTAAAGCCACATACTCTAGAGAGCATATTGAGGTTTAGAAGTTGACAATCAGATGATTTTTGCTGGTCAAGGACCCAGACTGATATATTTACCTTCTCCCTCTGTGCCTGATCCTGACCATCATTTATACAGCGATGATTCACCACAGGCGTCAGCCCATTTTTGCTTGCTTCTACCACACAGATGATCCACTGGCTGGTGTGTGTCGTCACCGTAAATAGGACGAGGCCTGTCATCAGGAACCGCAACCGATGATGTTTGGGCCTAATAATTCCCTGGCTTTAGCAAGATACTTTTCAACAAATACAAGAACATTATTTAAGTGGTGAGCAGATGTTTCTTGCAATGCAGAGGATAACATGTGTTTTCATGTTGTGTTGCTGAGAGAGTCATCCATTAGGTATTAGGAAGTGATGCAGAGAGAGACAAGTGGTGCTGTTTTTACCCAGAGCGGAATAAACAACTGAGAGGAGCACGGACACCTGGTTATTTAAAGGTGGAAGTAAACCATATACAGCAACACACAATTACATGCTAAATGTTGACTGAGTGCTGCTGGGAATCCGGGTGGATAACTTGCATGCCACAGGTTGTTTACCATTACACACACTTATGTTTCGCTTCCTTTTCGTGTTTAGGAACAGCTCTAAAGGATTTAGTCCTTTCCCAGATTGCCTTTATTTTTTCAGAGGTAATGACCTGCCTGAGACTGTGTGTGTGTGTGTGTGTGTGTGTGTGTGTGTGTGTGTGTGTGATAGCTACAACAGCTGTACTGGGTAACAGAGCAGGCACCTCAGGAACAATGTAGCTAAAATTGTAAAAATGTTAATTTAATGTTCCCGTATGCAATTCAATGAAGCTTTATTGGCATAGCTGTGAATCAAAAACATGTTGCCATATATTTGAAGACTGACTCTTTACATTAATGAATAAATATGAGCACACAGAAAAAGACAAAAAAAACTGAAACGTGACTGAAATCAGACACACACACACACACACACTGTTGTGTTAGAAATGTCGTCACATTCGTTTCCTGGAGACTTATCCTAACTGTAACTGCTACCAGCCTTATCCTAACAATTACACTAACCTTAGATGTTCCTAACTTAACCTAACTTAACCTTAACTTAAACACACCTAACACAGACTTCTGCAGTGAAGAAATGTATTAAAATTCAAGTGAAGTGGATGATTAGTCCTAGACAGGGAGGCGCTGGTAGTTCACGAAGCAATGCATTACCCTCTTTGTCTTTGTAGTACAACGCTTAAACCTCTAATGAAATGACTTGGCTGGTGGTAGGTGGTAATTTGAGATCATTTATGTATGTTTATGTATGAATAGGATAAACTATCCAATACTGTTGTTTTTTTCTTATTTGTGTCTGAGCTATTTGTTTTTCTATAGAAATTAACTGGGGGAGTGTTTGGGTTTTCAAGCTGGTAGGCTCCATCAGCTCAAATCAAGCTGTGGTCAAAAGTCTGAGCGTGTGTGTGTGTGTGTGTGTGTGTGTGTCTGTGTGTGTGTGTGAATGAGTGACCATGGTTAGTGAGTTAGGGAGCTCTGTCTCCTTTGTGTCAACAGGCTTTCTGGCTTGCTGAGGCTAATCACTGAGGTAATTACTGTTAATTAGGATCATCAATCATTAGACCTGTCGGCCTGTTTCACTGCCTGGTAGCTGGTGTGTGTGTGTGTGTGTGTGTGTGTGTGTACTTGTGTATTGTATAGGTAGGCAAAAGACAGGCAAGATAGGGTTGATCTAAATTTTGCTTTATAAGAGTAAAGATGACGTAAATACATTTTTCATGGCTCAGCTTTATATAATATTTCACCACCTCACTGTTACCAAGTCAGAAAAAAGAAAACCAGACACAAGCATCCCAAGCAACCAAAAACAACTTATCAACAATAGTATTCCGGTGTTGCATGATGCATTTTTACATGTATATAGATTTTTTTATGTCTGCATTCGTACAGAAGCAGAGTGAATTAATAATAAAACAGTAACTGCTCTGAGAATGAAATAAAGTTTGCCCATTGTTTTACATATATTACAACAAATTAAAAAGCCTTCAATCCAATATTTTCACATAAGAGAGGAATATTCAGAATTGATCTACGCATGCTACAACTCATCAATGAGTTCAATATAGTGCTAGAATATAATCAGTGCCATGGTGGCAGTCATGTATTTTAATGGTTCATTGAAATCTTTTACATTTACCATACAACGTGTTTATTGTACAAGACAGTGATGCAATCACAGGAATACACATTCTCCTGTTTCCCATTTAAAACTCAACATAAACAATCCAGCATGCAGTGGAGGAACAGTGTTTATTCATTCAGCAAATGCAGTTGAAACCTCTGTGCAGCTTTGACTCTCAACACTGGGTGATGTAATGGTCACAGTTTGAATTTAAAATATTGGATATCATCTCTTCCTTTGTCTCCAATTGTTTTGCGTCATTTACTCTGTCATGACATAACAAAGTATCAGATTTTGAAGTAAACCTTTGTTGGAGGGGTTTTATTTAGAGACAAAAAGAACACAATTTGAATTGTGGTTATTTTATTGGTGAAGAGCTATAGAATTGTGTACCATGGTACTGTAGTTGATATGACGACCAAGCTGGGTACCACTTTCGGGGGATTATGTCCAACAATGTCAAGGTGTCATTTCTAAAATGAATGGCTACTACAGAGGTTGGCCACTCCCTAAAGCAGTTAAAGAGTTAATATTTTCACGAAACACTTATAATAGAGAGGCCTTTTATCTAAATAAGCCTTTTTTTGTGACGAAAGCTTATTTTACAGTAGCTGCTGAAAGGAAAACAAAGATGGGGCCAAAAGACCGTGTAGAGTTTTTAACTATTTAACCTATACATTCCTGTAAACACATTTGATACTTGTCAGTCTAAGTGCACTGAAGTTCCTACCACTTTCAAACTAAAATATTCTAACAGAAAACAGAGCTGTGTCTTATATTGATATGCCAAAATAACACTTTTTGTATTCTAAATAATTTCATGAGCTCACTGACAACTGTATTCGTCTGGCTCCATATATGTCTATGTTTAACATTAAAATGAAAGGCATGGGAATGCCTTGAATAAGCCTTTTCTATTCTCATCTGGTGCGTCAAAATATATGTAAACATGCCAGTGTATATAAAAGGCATTAGAGTGTGCGTGTGTTGAGGTCTCAGTGATATCATGTTTCATACAGAGGCCACTGTGTGCCAAAGTTATGATACACTCAACTATATATGAAAATGTGTTCGCTTTTCTGGGCAGGAGAGAGAGAGACACCTGCAACACACACACACACACACACACACACACACACACACACACACACACACACACAAACCTACCTGGATAAGGACACATACAGAGGAAGATTGAGTTACATATCAAATACTTGCCTCTATACTTGTGAGGACCCTTGCTGATGTAATTTCTCTGACTATAAGATGTACAGAATCTCATGAATAAAATGTATTGTAGTGTGAGCAGTTCTGACTGTCATGTTGATGTGGAAACGCAAAAACTGCACAACTGATGTGGGACAAGGTGTCCTGATTACAACATTATGGAGAGTGTGCTAAAAGTCACTGTGTGTGTGTGTGTCTGTGTTCCAGTGCCATTGTCCTTCTCTGTCTCCTGTATCCTGTTGTGTTCTCTCTGGATATACAAATCTCCCAAACGTGCTCCGACTACAAGCATGACTTTATTTGACCTATACCTTTTTCTAACTTTAACTCTAAAACAAGTCTTAGCCATTAAACAGAATTTTGAAGTGAGAATTTAAGAAATGTCCCCACTTTAAAAAAAAAAGCTGAGTCCTCACAAAGATAGAAGAACAAGAACACAAACACACACATTAATGGCAAGTGGTACCCAGTAAAATCTGAATACGGAAATGAGCGCTGAATTGGGACCCCACGGACCATTGCGGAACCATTTTAACACACACACTCTCTCTCTCACACTCTCTCACACACACACACACACACACACACACACACACACACACACACATACTGTATATACAGAAAACTGAGGGCCACTAAAACCATTGGGGGACTAATGGGTTGCCACTTGCCAGTTTGAGTTATAAGGACCCAATTTAATTTTGTGTTTATGACTGGTGACCACATGCTGCATTAGTGTGTGTGTGTGTGTGTGTGTGTGTGTGTGTGTGTGTGTGTGTGTTTGTGCGTCACTGAATACTTAAACATATGTGAATGTTTTTCATGTGTAAAGGAATGTAAGTGGTCTCACTTATGTGTGTGTGTATGTTTATGAGAAGTCACACGAAGGTCCCATAGTGCAACTGCCACCATGTGGTGAAAACACCTATGACATAATTCAGAATCCAGAGCTGGGAAAAGTAGAATAAACTTTAATCAGACTAAACTAAATTTAATTAAAGGATCTAAATCAATCAATATCTACCACAACACTCTGGTAATCGTCTATCCAGTTATTCATTTATTAATTCATGAAATCTCATACTGGCAGGAATTAAAAACTGAAAATCATTATATCCTCACATTGTCATGACCAGTTTTAACCTTAAAAATTGTTGGACTGTTAGACTCAGAATATGACTCCTTATTATTATTGAGTTAATACGCTGTTATGATTTATTTTTCACGGCTCCCCTCCCCCACTATGTTACAAAACAGATCAGGAATTTCATTTTTAAGTAACTGCATATTTTTATTGTGTTAATCAAAAACAATCTGACCTCTCTACACACATACACACACCACTGTTCCCTTTGCCATTATGTACAGAGCTCTGCTTTCCCCCAAAACTCACACACATAAAAACCGCTCGCACACTTTTCTCTCTTGCTCACACACACACACTCACACACACACACACACACACACACACACACACACACACACACACACACACGCACACACGCCTCTCCTTGTGAGCTATCGTACAGGGGTGCGTCACATGACATGGGATACAACTGTGTTGAGTAAAGGGGCTGTGTGAACAACAAAGACTTTAATTGGACACTGTTCAGGATTTTTTTTTTTTTCACCATTGGCCGTAATGTCCCAAAAAATGTTGAGGATGAGTCCTTTTCAGCAGACACAAACAACACATGTAAATCTATAGGAAAAATAAAAATCCACCACAACATATCAGCTTATCTTTGCACATAAATACAAAGGAATGATAATAATATTCAACATTGTGCTTTCTTTCTCTCGCTCTTTCTTGCCACCGCACCATTGTCAAACGCGTTGGCCACTAACATTGGTCATGCAATTTCAAAAGAGCACAAAACAGCTGGCTTAAAAGAGAGACTCAAGCAGATTTGACATCACAACCATTGTAAATAATCTCTCATCAAAGAAAAGGAAGTACACAACTAATAATCTAATTTCAGTGAATTAGTAGTATAACCTTAATTAGTTCTGTGGTTTGAATGCCGAGAGGCAGCATCTTCCTACATTTAAACTCTATTTTTTTTTCATGTCATCATTTTGCAGTAAATCCTTGATGTGGTGTCAAAGTGCAGAGTTTCCCTTTTACAGGAGTCAGTCAGTTTAGTTCAGTTCAGTTTAAAGAGTTAATTACATCTCTATAAAAAAGGTACATAAATAACAACGACAATGATTCCATACATCTAAAATCCACTCACAGACCTAGTTTGTGATGCCTGCTGTTGTCAGGGACTGTGTGAATTAATGAACACAGCCAAGTTTAGCCAATTAGAGTATACTGGAAACTTTAAACCACGATACTTCTGAGGAATTTGAGGCAAAAACACAAATTAGACCATAAATTCTTCATAAAAATCATCTTGTGTCATGAATGCAAAACACAAATTCATGTTTTATCTAACATGGTCAGTTGTTTTCTTTCATGTGGATAGACTATGATATAATAAAGTATGGTACCATAGGTAGGCTCCTCATCCGAGCCTGTACACACAATGAACACTAAGGAGGCAGGCTACACACAACATGTTACACAACAGATGAGCAACAAACAGCTTTCTTTACAGATAATACACAGAGAGAGATTGGACTAAAGACCGAGAGAAGGAAGACCTCATCGTACTAATTGTCCATAAGGAAGAGATGACATCATTAAGCAGCAAAAGGCAATATCAATGACTGTAACACTATGTTGAGAAGTGGTTCCAACAGTGTATGAAATCAGATGAAAGTTTTGTTTTTGATGGACAGTGAAATGCATTGTGGGTAGCGCAGAACAGCTTTCTGTGCATTTTGCGGTGTCGAATGAGGAGTTTGCGGGTGGCTCATCTCATATCATTTGCATATATCTATTTTTCACAAACATTATATGCAAGAACAGTGTAAAAGAGCAAGGAGTACCGCTTAGAATACAAAACAAAATCATAGTTTCACTCATAAATATCATGCTAATATATTTATATATATTTACTGTACTGTAGCCCAGAAACATGGGTCATCATACTAGAGTCCACTTCCCTCTATCTCCTCATTGTATCAATGTTTCCCCCCCAAACCACCATGCTCATGATGTATCCTGTTTGTTAATTAATGTACAAAACATTAAACGCAGCCAAAAACAAAACCAATCAATAGCTAATTTTAGAGTGAGGTGTTGATCATGTCAACACTCTTGTATATGTGAAAGATGTGACAAGGTGTATAGATGTAATCCAGGTATTGTTTGGGCTTTTATTTGCTTTTACAGATTGAATTCATTCGTGCTTCAGCTTTGTCTGTTTCCTGTACACATCTCATCTTTCTCTCACATCGTGGAATGCCAGTAGTTTTTCCACCCCTCACTCGCTAGTGGTTTGGACCAGTAAAGCAATATAATTATATCTTGCCAGATTCGACTGCTCTCTGACCATGACTGCATTGTATTGTGGGATTTCTTTTGCTGCAACATGCCTCAATGTGCCAAAGGAAACCATAAAAAAACTACTATATAATATAACCAGTTTCGCAACATGCTGATCTGTTCCACAGGCTGCCCCACACTGCTGACATCTCTACCTCTTCTGACTGCATTATGCGCACAAACGTGTGAAACGTGAGGTTACTGGAAAAGTTGATCAATTTATATGTTTGTGTAGTAACAATTTGTTCAAGTGTTTATTTGTCTGAATGCTTTTGCATTTGCTCATAAATGATTGCATTCAAATGTGTTTCCAGTTGGAGACCATTACTTTCCAGTTAATTCCAGTTTCTCCTCTCCCTCCCATTATGCGCAGCGCTGACGTCCACCATTTTTCTACGTTGTTGTTGTGAAATCTTCAGGTAAGAAAAGCCGTGAGCAGAGGTCATCCAAAACTTTGGGGACTGTTTTTGTTCTGAGTGGTGCAGTCCAGAGTTTAGAGCTACTATCCACATATAACATTGTGTTGTTGGCATAAAGTAGGCAACAAAAGATGTGTGATTTCTTTGTTGTCAACCCACCTTCAATATACAGTCAGTGGCAACAGGAATGACAGGGGAGTGTAAGTTTTTTGCCCACAGGTAAAGGTGGGTTCACTCCCGTGTATCTGCATGTAACCTCGACTACGCTAGTGGAACAGTGTAAAGGGATCGTGCAGAATCAATTTGGGCTGTAAGGCAGCACATGCAGGGGCTGGCCAGTGGGACGAGGACTCAGAGATTGGGGTACCGTATAGTGGGGGCATCCATGGATAAATATACACAATAGAGGAGGTGCTGTGTGTGTGTCTGCATGTGTTTTTATGTACGTGGTTGTGTCTGTATTTGTCAACACCTCCGTGAGTTCTTGGTCTCTCAATCTCTTTCTATCATTTTCCTCCTTCCTTTCTTGTATTAGTCATTCTTTTCACCCTCCGTGTCTTTCTCGACATTGTTACTCCCCTGCACTGCGAGGCGCCCGAGGATTCGGCTTCCCGTCGTGGGTCCGGCGGTTTCTCCCCTTCCTTATCTCCTGAAGATGCTTCCACTTCTTGTTAGCTGGGCGGACAGCGGGGCCCGGAGGAGGAGCGTCCTTCCCCTGAGCAGGAAAGGTCTTATCCCCTTGGTCACTGCCGGCGTTCTTTCGTGCCCAAACTTGCTCACAAATCTGGTCAACAGTGCTCAGGTTAGGGTGGTCCACCAGCTGCATGAAGTCCCGATACCAAAGCTTTTGATTGGTCAGTGGGGGCCCACCTCCACTGCGGGGGTCTAATCGGACAGGGGCATCGGAGGGTAGATTGGAGACTGAGGAGGATGTTGAAGGTACAACTTCCAAAGTGATGCCTAATAAGGTTTGGGTGAAGCCGTGTTCCATGCCATGACACTGGTAGACGCCGACATCTCTCTTCAGGACACGGCGAATCAGAAGGCCTCTGTCTGTCTGGAGAATGCGGTCATCTAGACGCACCTGGAAAACAGAAATAACTTCAGCAAAATGTTGGAGCTCAACTTTGTGCCATTTTGTCTTTTTGTACAAGTGTGTATCTTAGCACCAATGTCATCCTGCAAAGTTAAAAAAAAAAGCTACAATGATCTTCAGTACCAATTGCAGTTCATTGTCAGAATATACTAACTTGAATGACACTGCTTAACAACAATGTCATGTGGGGAAAAATTATTAAACCTGGATAAAGAGTTTTAGCAAGAATCATAGTAAATGTTAACACTAACTGCACATTGCAATATAAAATAGATTGGCTTACAGTCATGTAAAACCTTTTTTGAGTTTGGTCAATGTTCCTGTCAGATCTGTTAGTTAAAGTCTCTCTCCACCATCCCCCTCACCTCTTCACGTGGGTTCTGTGGATGTTTCTGGAAGGTCCAGGTGACTCTGGCCTGAAGGGATTTTGGGATACACTCCAGGAAAGTGCTGCTTCCCTCAACTCCATACAGCTTCCTCTCTGCAACACGGTGCTTATGGTGGTCTGCAGGGGGCAGCAGAGACAAGGACATTATGGGATCTACTGTAACCAAGGGATCCGCTCACTAACAACGATCCAAGACCAGTGAAGAATTGAAAAGCCAAAAGAGGGCAGGACAGGACCAAGAAAGGGGCTGAAAAAATGGACAAGACAGGGAAGGAAAACCCTGGGCAGGTCAGACTAAGGAAAGACAGGATGACATGGGACAGAAACAACTTGAGCTAATAATGTGATCGCAAATAGGAAACCAAAGCTTACTCTCAAACAGTATCTCTGATCTATGAAGACCACATTTTAGAAATAGTTATTGGGTCTTTTTGTCATGTGAGCAAAAGTATTTATGCATCGGTGGCACACAAGGAAAATATGTAAATCACAGTCGTTCTTAGGTGTTATAGCAATAATCTTAACACTGATTAGTGAAAGCCTCAGTTGGCTGTTGATGGGAAAGTTCACTACAATCATGACATGACTGCATCCTGCAGAATAATGGTGAATATTTGAACACTTGGTTACATGTTTGATGTGTGACAAACAAGGACTCTTCTGGTCCTGGCAGTGCTTACTCATACATGTTGTCAATATGAATGATGAGGTTTAGCAATGACAAAGGATCAGTGTCTGTGCCCCAAATCTTAACCTTAGCCATAAGTGAAAGTATATGTGCTCAAATTTCTAAGAGAATTTCTAGGATTTACAAATACATATCCAAACATTAAGACCGTGATTGGGTCAGAATAAGAACAATTTTGTTTCTAACCACCAGTGCTACACAAATTATTGGGAAAACAATGTGGGTGCTGCTAAACTGACCTCTGACCAGCGCTTTGGGGCAATGACTCGCTCATCAGAGACAATTACTCTGACCTTCATTAGTTTTCCACAACCCGGCTTGCATGTTGCATGATGTAATCGTATTACCCAGGAGCTCCTGAAGTTTGAGCGATTCGCCTGATTACGTTATGTGGTAGAAAGACAGACAGCAGCAGAATGCTGATATTGTGGTCTGGGAGGACAGAGGTCACCAGGGGCAAAGGGTGGAAGGATTTGGGATTTTTTGGCACACGGACAGTGAGATGTCAGATGCCAGAAGAGTCTCTGAGTCAGACCAGGATCAGAGTAAAGCTTTATCTTTTGAATATCCTCAGTAAGCTTAAAAAACTGGTCACAGCTGCAGAGCTTTCATTTATGTTTTCATTTTAACAACCAGAAAAAAACAATAGTTTTTGAAGAATACCTCCAGAGCACAGGGTGTTGGGGTCTCCGTTCCTTACATCCTGGCGACGGAAACGTCTGTAAAAAGAGTTAACTACAATTTACTACAACATTAGGAATTTATACTTTTGAGATTACAACAGTTTTTATTGTTTTTCTTGCTCAATGTAATGAATGGTCATCTGGTGTGTGTGTGTGTGTCGTTAGCGGACCTCTTGGTGTTCGGCAGGTAGCGAGTACAGGATGTTCCATCCCAGGCACAGTACGGGTCTCTGGCCAGGCAGCACTCAGCGCAGGCCTTCCCGTACACACTGCAGCGGTGAAGGGGAACCTGGGCAATGCCCGTGTCTGAGCCCAGATACAACTGTTGCTGTGAGGAGACAGAGTGGAGGGACACGTTTGAATAGAGAGTTTCAGGACTTAAAAGTGCACACTGATTTTAACTCCTTTTTAAGGCACAGTCACAAATGCACAAAATGAAAGATTGCCTCCCGTTCTTGTGGCATTGGTATTGTTGATAATTAAGCATAAATGTACTGGGCCCCATCACAGGCAACACCATTCTCTAGTCCTGACTTAACTTACCTTTAAGCTGTCTTTTAGCTTCTACTCTCTCCAAAGCAAAGGACAGAAGCGCACTCAGCGGCTGCTGCTAAACACTTCAGCCCTTGCTTATACCTCCAAGTGTATCAGCTTTGAGACAGTTTTGTTTTACACCCTGATAGAATATGCTGAAGGGAAGCTGATCCTGAGTATCTTTTTCCACACCTTCCCAACTCATCCACTCAACCCCGCTTTGCCTACAAGACCGCTCTTGCACATCTATCAGCTTCTTCTTGCTTCTGAATCTCCTCTACAACCAGCTTTCTCCTGCTAACTGTTGATGGCTGTGCTATGCTTAGCCCATTCCGTACGGGCTCTACAGCATCCCTACTTCTAAGTGCTGCCTGAGATGGTAAAACTGCCTTCCTTGGTTTCCACCTTAGTGATACAAAGACCAATATTCTTTCACACAAAAGGAGCCACAATGTTCCATATATTTGTTTTGTCAATGATTTTAAGTTGAAAGCAAACATACCCGTTTTGAGGAGATCTGCATGTCGATGATAGATGAGGCATCCTTTAGAGCAGACAACACATCAAATAAATTAATACATTTTGCATTGTTAAAAAAAGGCATTTAAGATGCATCAGCATTGTCTCTCAATATACAACCATTACATAAGTGCTTGTATCTACAATAAATTAGCTTTATCATAGTTTTCTCACTTTGAAGACCTCCAGCTCTTCCAGTAGGAGCTCTTCCATGTTGTTCCAGCTCTCCTTGGGGACATTGATTACCTTTAGTACTGTCCCTTTGTCTGAAATAAGAGATGCAGTCCGTCGAGTCACACATCATAACACATAATATCTTTATTTTCATGTTTAAATATAAAGCTATAAGTTAGAACTGAAAACAAGTGATTCACCTGTGCCAATAAACATGACATCATATTGTCCATCGGCAGCGTTGACTCTGTCCACAGCAATCTGTGTGAAGCTGTAGTCCACATTAGTTCTGATGAAGACGGGCCGTCTGCTCATTGGGTAGACCGGATTGTACATCAGAGGGTGATGACGCGCAAACTGGATCACATCATCTGGGAAACCCTTTGTGGACTCAAAACTGCCGAATGTCTTGCTGGGACACTATTGGAGGGCAATAAAAGAAAGTTGGAATAATTGCAGACAAACACAAATGAGATACAGCACAAAAATACACAAAAAATTATTTTTGTGTATTTTTGGTTCCATTGTGGTACACAATGTTCTGAACTTCAAAAGGAATGCAAAATGGTGCAAATAAATTTGAAATATTAAAAAACTAACTGTAAATACTGAAAATCATCAAAACTGACCACTTTGCTTTCAAATATTATCCTGGGAATGTAGGAACATGCACATTTTGTATTCATAAATGGATTATACTCTAACCAGCAATTTAAAGTATTCCAATAATACAGCCAACCCACTTCTATTGTAAGGGGTTTATTACAGCTCTGTAGAATAGGACTTACTGTGGGTGCTCAGAAACGTTTTGCCTTATTTGGACTCAAACGTTCCACAGTGACTCATACTATTTTTGATGTTTTGTGATTGTTCTGCATTTAAACTGGTATAAATGTCTGACTTCTCAAAGTTACCGTCGACCAGGTCACAGTGGGGTGTGATGGGTCACAAGAGGTGTGAGAGATTTTCTCCAGCTCAGAGTCCAGCCTCCCTCTCTAATTAAAATTCCTGTCTTAGACTTTAATTCCAGATACCTAAGCTTTACGAACTTATACTGTAGCGTCATGCAGTTTTCACACTTTTTCATGGTCTGCACAGGAGATACAGTTGGTAAATAAAGTGGAAAATGCTTTGATCTAATTCATAAACTCTGAACTCTGAATCTACTGTCTATGCAGTTTTGCTTCATTTTCTTGAGAGGTGGTCTGTTTCTTTTAATTTGATTCTTTCCGCTAATTTTACAACCCAGTGAGGTGATGATGGCGTGAGAGAGGGTTTACTGAAGGCCCAATACAATTACTATTCTGCAGCCATACAATGGGGATTGTTCTGCTGTGGCAGTAACAGCTAAGGCTTTGCATAACAAATCCTGCTGACGCTATGCTCGTGTGCTTAGAAGAATGTAAGAGCCCTAATAAGCACTTATTAATTGAGAGGACTCTGAAGAGCTTTTGGATGAAATTAGGTCTTCATCTAGGTATGAAGTGCCGCTAAGACTTATATCACAAGGATATTACATGAGATTAATGTATTCATATTGATACGACTTTATATTTTTACAGTTCAGTGCCCTAAATGGAAATATTAGAAACCAGGGAGAAGTTATTGGCATACCATTCCTGGGCGTGGATAGGGGACTTTTCCCTGGAAGGGGACCCACTGGTAGTTGGGCCCCTCTTTGTGAGCGAAGGGCCCCAGGAAGGCCCTCCGGATGTCATTCATGGAGTAGAGACACACAGCTGAGCCTTTAAATACACTGCTACTGGGGAAGAGGGGGAGCTGGGTTAGAAACATCCAAACACACACAAACAGTCGGGTTTTCATGATTTTTGGGGACATTACATTGAATTCATTCAATAACTGGAGACTTACCCGAACCGCTACCATCCTAACCCTTAATCTTACCTTAACCTAAACCTAACCTTTAAACCAATTCTTCACCCTAAAATTCAATGATTTACGTTACTCGGATGTAGATTGTGTCCCCATGGCGAGTCCCCACATTGTGACAGTGTAAACAGACTTATGTCCCGACAAGTCATGGAAACACACACACACACACACATTTGTCTTCTTCTCCTTTTTCTCTCTTTTGCACAAACACACACAATATGAATGGACTCTGACCTGGAAGTAGAGAAGACTGTGTAGACCAGAGGGTTCTTTCTGTCCCTTGTCTGCAGCAGGAAGACGTCGCCTGAGGACACACACACAAGCACACACACTCAGGTCAGGTGGTGGTAGTCTAGAGGCCAAAGGTTGAGAGAAAGATAAGCAAAGCCCTATGGCAATTACTTTAAAGAGACGTTTCACCAATATCTCAGTCATAACATGGACCAAAATTCACTACAGCCTCGAGCAGTGTTTTTAACATTATTTTATCAAGATTGAGTCTGATTAAAACATTATTTTACAGGTCGGGGTCGGCCACAAATGAGATGGATCTCCAAGACCTGGCATATGAGTCATGAAATACTGCTGTTAAAAAAAAAGTCTACTGCTCCAACTAGTATTGTACTATTAAAAAGTTATGTGGTGTAGATACTGTCGGACAATTTCAACAGGTTCAGATATTTCTACAGGGAGGTCCTTTCTTAATAATATGTGGCCTCAGGTATGGTGAAAACACTCTTGGTCAAGAGATAAGGGACTCATTGTTCACATGAGGGGATGTGATGGACGGACTTAGCCTTAAGGGTTAGGACAAATTCTTCCACTTATTTCACCTTTCACTGCGTCACGAGATAAGCACAAAGACGTATCATATTATGGCCCACAGATATGTTCAGAGAGAAAAATCAAAAACACCTTGAGAGCTGAAACTGCTGCAGCTGCTGTGGAAATCACATGACGGGAGGTTTGGTGTTTGTCTTTACGAGATGTTTTATATCATTCTCTAGCTTCCCATTGCCGTTCCTTATATATTCAAATACAAACTTTCACATTTTAGTCAAAATATGTTTTGTTTTGGTGTCAAAATGCTATTTTACCAAGCCCTGCAGAAAAACGTTTTCCCAGATGACCTGATTTAAGTTTCGAATATGACTTTAATAAATATATTCCTATCCATTGTGTGTATTACCTACAGTAAAGATGGCAATGGCACGCTCCCAGTTTGAAAATATTTTACATATAGCTTACACTTAAACTGAGCATTTTTTAGGTGGTTAATATTTCCGATGGGGAACTGAAGCTCTCTTCAAAGCCTCAAAACAAAAACAAAGGTCTACAAATCCAGAGCCTGATGAGCCTGACCCTCCTATTACAGTTGCTAAGCTATGATTAGACAATTGCTTGTCGGGTTTAGCGCAAAATATTTCCTCTGCCAACAATCTATGTTTTAGAAATACAGCCTGGCTTCTGGATCTTTTCTAATGAAAACATATTATTGCCGTTTGTCACACGAAGACTCAAAAGAGATGAGTCTGCAACTTTCTCTGAACTCAGAGCAAAAACATTGGCTTTGGATCAGGCCAGAATCTATTACCAATGAATCTCAAGCTCATGCTTTCTCCAAGTCTGCAGGAATGTGGGGCAGAATGATAATCCACAATTGAGGTCAGAAATCCTGTTTAATTTATTATGCTTTCTTCAACTTTCTCTCCCTTTGCACCCACAGAATATGCCTCTGGGTAAAAACTCAACAGAGAGCAAGGTTGGAAAATCAGCCCAAATTTCAACTCTTTGTTTAGCTTTTTCTAACTTATGGTATAATGTTTTGGATGGATAATGGGGACACAAAATAGAAACGTAGAGGTTAACCACTTTGTTACTGGAGGTGATGTGAGTTCATACTCAAAAGTGTACTTTCTTCAATCCCAAAGAGGCACTTATGATGACTTTTACTTGAGCATGCAGGGCCTTCACTTCAAACATCAATTACTATGACATCATGCTTTGTTCAACGTCATTGTAGTCATAAACAAGTTGATACGGTAGAAAGTCCGTCTGTGTGAACTCACGCAGCTCATCAAAGTATGTGTCGCTGCCGTCGGCTCCTGGCACCGAGCAGATCAGACGGGTCTTGAGGAATGTCGTCCACTTGTTCACCAGACTTCGCTGACCGCCCATGTCATTCTGATTTCAAGACAAAACAATCAAAATGTCTTTAACAGGATATGGTAATTCTTCCAACAGAATATGACCTAATTTTGTTACAGAATCTGTAGCTAGGTTGAGCGGGCCTGGTTCAGACTGGTGTGTTTTACTGGACTTGGTTGATGAAACAATCTCTCACCCTGCAGAGCTGTCCGATGCGGGAGTAGGTGGACTTTCCCAACCCCTGGGCCTCAACCGCCGTCTCGCGGAAGAAGAAAAATACCTTGTCATCATCAGGGTTTTCACTTTCTGGGACCCAAAAGGAACCAATAAACTTTGGTTCTGGTAGAGCGAAACAGAGATAAACAATGTCAGTTTCTCAAATAAGTTGTGACCAGACTGAAGTTATTTATGATGTAAAATGAACTAAACTGAAAAAAGAAGTGATGCCTAAGCTGACACATAAACACACGGACCATTGAGCCAGCGTGAGTCATGCTGCTCAGTGCGGATGGAGGGGCGTTTCCCCAGGCTTCTGAAGATGGTGAAGTCCCGTCCCATTAAGTCTGTGGCCACGCCTGCATATAGCTCATCACCTAGGAGACAGGATGAATCATCCATCAAAATCAACAAAAAGTATGGCATGAAAATGATCACAACTATTACATATTTCAAACCAATTTAAGTAAAAACATATTCTAGTAAATGGATAATCAGCTCATATGAACGTGCATGGGTTTAGTTACCGACGAGAACGGATGCAGCATTGTGGCGAGGGTCATACGGACTCTTCCCTTTACCGTCCTCCACCTTGGAGGGGTCAATCCTGAACACGTGGTCCTGATGGAAAGAGAGGACAGGTCTTGATACAGTTGAATTTGGATTATGTTCTCACTTATAGTGAAGGTTGGCTGAGGGCTGAGGCGATTTAGGCAAAGCAAATGTTTGAGATATTGTCTCTGTTGACTCGATCTTATGATGTACAAGGAACAATAAAAACTGGAATACTTGTCCAGTAGTTTGGTGTGTTGGTTTTGTCTCGTGTATTCCTCACCTCCATCCTGTGTCCCACCTCCACGAAGGCGCAGGTGGGGTGGAAGGCCCCGGTGCCACAGGCGTACAGGTGGGTGCGGTTAAAGTGGTGCACAATCTTCACATAGTTCACACAGTCGGACTGAAACACACACAGAAACACAGTTTTAGTTTAAGCTGCTTTGGGGGCTTTAAACACTTGCAGGAATTAAATTCAGGTCACTAAAACAAAACAAAAGAATAAATTTCTGGAAAAATACCAACAAAGTGTAACTTCCAGTTATCTGCAGCTCAATTTAAAAGTGTAAAAACAAGTTACCATGACTGTAACACTGTAAATGCAAGATCAACTAACAGAACTCGGGACTCTCTTTTTTTTATGTTTAGTGATATACATTCCTCACATAGCTCCTCTCACCCTGTCTGCCTGTGACAACACTGTCCAGTCCCCAGCTCCGCCTCCAACACACTGTTGTGACAGCCTTTGTGTCCTGGATGTACAACACACATGCCTACAATGTGTGTGTGTGTGTGTGTCTACTCATACGTACCTCCATATGAACACACACAAAAAGTATAATACGTGCCTGAAACTGTGAGCTACTCAATGTTGCTGGTTAACTTACACAGTATGGATTTCATGAAACACGTGGACATTTTGTGCATCGCAGTGGGTGTGAAACAGAAGATTGCTTTCATGACCAACAGATGGGACAAGAAGACAAACCGAAAGAGGAAAGCTTCCTGTTTAGCTCAGTGGCTTGCAGAATAGATTCTACTATTATAGTTTGTATAGGCGAATGAATCAGACACCTTATGATGTAAAAATCCAAATGTTGGTACAGTTATGATTTCAAATGTGTATATCAGTGGATAAGCTTGGATGTGACCAGCATTTGATGAAATTATTGATAGGTTGGTTAAAATGGCATGGAAAGTGGTCTGATGTAAAAAGCAGATAATAAAGCAAAAGATACTCTTGTACTTTACGATATATATATATATATACTGTGTATATATTTATTTATTTTATTCCTCAGAAAGTGAAGACAAATAATCAAAGCAAGTATGTTGTTATGAAAGAACGAGTGTTACATTTTTGGGTGATACACTTTCTTGTCAGGAGTTAGATGTGAGGATCCAGAATACTCTTACAGCTGCATACTAAATGCTACAGCCACCAGCTGATTAGCTTAGCTCAAGGCGTGTCAATAAATGTGTGAAATAAATGTCAAGCATGATACACAACTCAAGGTTTTCCTCTAAACTGAAATGGAAAACTTAATATTTGACTTTGAATATATCCCATTGTTGAATAGTTGTATTTCCTCCTCTATTCTCCTTCATATCATACATTTTCAGTATCCTCATTTCTGTCTGTTCCCTCCTCCTCTTATCTAGACAGCAGGTTATTGACCCACAGTCACAGCTGTCCATCTGGGAGTCAGGTTACAGTAAGCTGGATCTCAGGAGACAGCTGGAGAAATAGATGTACTGTACACTAACACACTGGATGGTAACATTCCTTTTCTGGCCATAGCACTGATCCTTACACAAGGCATAGAGGAGATCGGCCTGTTTTTTCAACTACCCTTTACGAGAAAAGAAGATGCATACTGTGATTATCAGGATTACCATCATGTTTATCAGTGGTCTTCAGACCCAGGGCTCGGTAACACATGATGAGCTAATATGATGCTTTTCAAACATCTGCGTCGGAATTGCAAAACAAATTAATTTCCTTATTCTACTAAATAATATTTTGCCGTAACACTTGCTGGCTGTCACGTCTAATCCCTCCTTTTGTCTTCTGTCCACTATTCTCCAGACAGGCCATTGTAACATCTGTCTGTAGATCAAGTTACAGACACTGTTGGACCCCAGGGACCGACTGGAGAAGAGGTTTATAAAGACATGAATCTGACCGTCAACAACCGCCCTGTGTACAAAGTCTGCAGATTCTTCCATTATTTAATTTATTGATCTTCATGTTTATTTATTTTTTTAAATCCAAGTACATTTGGGAGATGTAAGATGGGACAACTGTTTTTGCTTCTCTAAATATTTTCTTAAGATTTGCATTTTTATAATATATGGCAATTTTGCATTAAAGAAGTTGCATCACGTTTTTGTCATCATTGGTGTGCTTTTGTGATCTGTGTGTAGTTGCAAAACCAAATTTCCTTCAAGATAACATTTACTATGAATGAATGGAGGTTGATTGAGTGTTTCTCCATCTCTCTGTTATCTACACATTTACTCTCCTCTTTAATCAAATGTCTTTCTTTATCCGTCTGTTCAGTCTCTAATGTCACCCGAGGGTGACAGACAGACAGGCTAGGTTGTGAAAGCAGGGGCAAGCGGAATTGTGGCTCATTAGGCCTGAAAAAACACACACACACACACACACACACACACACACACACACTCACCTCAGTGGTTTGGAACAAAGGCCTGCTTTTCAGCCTTTGAAAACCAGTTGGGGGTTTGAGTCTGAGTGGTGGTGTGTGATTGCATGCATGCTTCCGTGTGTGTGTGTACATGTGAAGGTGTTCAACCAATCGAAAGGCCGATTAAGCTGTTGACAAACACAGGAGACCTCTGTTTCCTATGAAAGAAAGAGGCACACACACTTTTGCCTCTGCCCTTAGGCTGACATGGATATCAACACAATGAATAAACATACACACACCTCAACAGCTTCCAAACACCCGTCGTCCTCCAAAGAAACGTCCTCGTGCCACGTTTCAATCAACCTTTTTTTCCCATGATCCCCACTGTGTGTATCTGAAGCAAGACCTCCTCCTGCTTAATCTAACTCCCATTGTAGTTCAAGCCCTTAGCGTGTTTGTGTGCATGTGTCGGAGGGCCGAGGAAGGTAAAGGAGTCAGCGGAGCAGTAGTTTGACAAATTCAATTCTTTGATGTGACAAAAGAGAAAGAGAGCAGGAGGGGAAAAAAAAGGTAAGAATAGAGAAGACGCTTGAAAGACCTTGAAAAGATCAGAAAGGAAGGAGGAGTACAAGGGAGGTGAATTACGCCAGCCATCACATTTCCTCAGTGTGTGTGGGTGTGAAAGGGTTCACTGGCTAACCTTTGACCCATCACTGACTCATTAGTTAAAACTGTGAGCAAAATGCAGGCTGTGAGCAAAATGCAGGCTGTGACCACACTGCGGCCAGAGCTCTAGGTCTTTGCCTTCATGTATTGTAAAGCTGTATTGTTCCTCGGTGGATGTCTTTTTTCCTTTTCTCTCTTCATCCTCTCCATTCTAGAAACGATTAACCCGAACTATCTATTTATTATTTTGGCCGTTATCTGCTTCCTCTTTCCACCTCTGTCTGTCTCACATTAACTAACTAGGTTTTCATTCGAGCATTACGTAGCCTATTGATTTATAAAGTCAAAATAAAACTACAGTTTATTTCAATATTGCAATGATTTTTCTTGACCCTTAAAATTGGATGTCGGAGGCATTTTTTTTCCACCACACTCATATCACAAGTGTTGTTTCTTTAATATGTTAGCATCTAATTAGTTATATTGTTAGATATAATTCATCATAATCTTTACACAGCTAATCTGGGTAAAATCTGCGGATATTTAAAAACAACATCCTTCATATTTTCCCATTTATCTGGCACTGATCTTTTTTCAACCCATCTAACGCACATTTTCAGCTGTTTCAGTGCATCATTATGAAAGATTTGATAGAAACAGAGCTACAGGTTTATTTTTTTGATTGTGTCTGAGAGCAGAGAGTGCCAGTAGTGTAGCAAACTTTAATAAAGTTAATGGCTCAGAGCCTTTGACTGAACACACGGACCGATGGCGCACAGTAGACAGCCATTAGATACACAACACAGCACTGTGTAATATCCCAGGAATGCCTTTGATTGCTTCTGCTGAACAGGACAATGTACAACAGCGTTGTTTGTCTGACGTATTTCTCCTTCGGCAGAATGATTTCTGCACGCTGACCTTCAACAATCTGTTCAGCTGTAATAATATCACTAAGCAACACATCGAGGCGGGGCAGGATTTCCTTTTTTTTCCGATTAGTTGGATGGAAATGCTCAATTGTTTCAGTGTGTAGAGTGAATCCCCACACAGTGATGATCTACAGTGATCAACTCAATAATTCTACACAGTGAAAGCCAAATAATCAGTGGTTTTCAGGAGAAGGCTGCTTCACATTCACACATTGGTGGCCACTAAGCTGCTTCGCCCAATAGTTACGGGTTAACGCCCTTGCTTAAGGGCACTTCAATACCTAAATGACTAAATATAGGTCTTTTGTTCGTGCCTCCCACAACAACAAAAGTGAGTATATTGCAGACGCGATGCCAACGGCATGACTCTGTGGATGGCAATGTTGGTTGGTTCTTTGGCTGCGTTAGTCGAGACAGACATACGTATCTCAGCAACTATTGGGTGGATAGACATGACAGTTTGTACAGACAGCTGTGGTCCCTTAGGAAACATCGTAATGACTTTGTATTCCTCTGACTTTTCTGCACTACCGTAAGTTTGACATTTATTGTTTTGAATGAAGTGTGTAAAAAACTATTGGAGGGATTACCATGAAATTTGGTTGACATTCACATCCTCAGTTTGTTTGGCCCCTTAACATGTCATTTAGCGCAATAATCAGTTCAATTTTATTTTGTGTTTAGTGCTAATAAGGAAATCTTAGCATGCTAACACACTAAACTAAGTTGGTGAACATGGTAAAAATGATACCTGCTAAATATCGGCATGTTAATGTGAGCATGTTGACGTTTTTTATTTAGCTCAAAGATCTATCAGTCTGGAAAAGGTTACAAAGCCATTTCTAAAGCTTTG